AAAAACAAATTTGTCTTAAATTTGAGGGACTAAAAATATATTTAAGCCTAAATTTAATTTAATATTTGCTAGTTTGATGCTGACATCTCAACAATTCAATATATTTTAATGTCATTTATCCATTTTTTTTTTTTGCATAAATTGTCTTATATAGCTAGAGTATTATCTAATCTATCTCTTCCATGCATCTTGAATGACTAAATATAGATCGACAAAGAGTTTCAACATTACTTTGGTGCATTTATACACCAAATTAATTAAAATTGGAGAGTTTAAATGAATTTTCTATCGTTCAATTTATTTTTAATTATTATTCTAGATTAAATGTCTGTGCTGCGTATGTTTATATCTAGTTTTCCAATTAAGGCTGCCATTGAAAGCTATAGCTTGTTTGTTGACTAAGTTAGGAAAAATAAATTAAATTGAATTTTGCTGAAATGAATTATAAAAACTGAACTCTTTACATAAAATAACATGAAATTAAATATTTTTATGAAAAAATAAAATTACATTATAAAAATTGAACTTTTTTATAAAATAAAAATAAAAATTAGAAGTGTTGAAAATGGTCCAAACTCAATGGATTGACATTAGTCTAGCAGCACAGCAGACTGGGCTTTGAAAAAAAGTGGCCCAAAAAAGTTGGTCCAATTTAGTTTGTTCTGACGAGCCATTTAATGTCTTCTAATTGTCAAAATATATGCAAAGTGGAACATAAAACTATATAAAGTCTTATGCTTGTTAAAAGAAAAATGTTGAAAAAAAATAAATTTTTAGTGATATTTAATATAATTTTTAGTGTTAATAAAAATTGCTATAAAATCTTTTAGCGACATTTCCACAATAGTTATTATATGCAATTTTGCTAAAATATTTAGCGGTAATTATTCTGAATGCTGGTAAAAATCCTTATAATGGTCGAAAAAAATATATAATTTTTTGTGATATTTTTTACTTTTCTATTCGATACGGGACTTGTAAGATGAAGATTGTCTTTTATATATATATATATATATATATATATATATATATATATATTAATTGTCTTATCTCCTAATTAATTATTTTATCAATAGTCAATGTGAGATTTGGATTTTTCCCAATACACCCCCTCAAGTTTAGGGACTATTGAGTTTGATAATGGTGAGTAATCTGATAACAATTTAGAATAGTAAGTTATATGTCTATCTTAACCCTTCAAAACAAACTTGTAAGATGAAAGTTATTATCCATTTATATACTCTTTAATTATCTTATCTCTGGTTGATGTGGAACTTAAGTTTTTCTAAATAAATAATTATCGTTAATAGTAAATTTTGGTGTGATATAATTATATTTTTAATGGTCATTATATATTAGTCATTAATATTTTTATTAAATAATAAAATAAAGGTAATTAATTTATTGTCACTAAATAATTGTCGGTAATAAATTTTGTTGTAGTGCTGAATCGTCCGAATGAATGTTTCGAAAATTATTTCAAATTATTAAAAAATTACTTTAAATAATAAGATATTAAATTAAATAAGTATTTTATAATAAATTTATTAAAAAAATGTTAATATTTTAATCTTTTGGTGGAGATTGTTTCAAATTTTGTTTCGAAAAATATAACAATCCCCTTGTTAAAATGTTAATATAGCTATAATTGACTATTAATCAACATACAACTTTTGAAAAAACAATTATACAAAATGTGTGTGTGAAAAAACATTTGTATAAAATGTGAATGTGTGTGTACAAAATGTGTGTGTGGTTGTGTGGTTAGAAGTTCAAAGAAAGTTCACCATTGTAACGTCCACAAAGATAGTACTTAATTCTCTCGTCACCTCATTTGTGATTTTTAAAGTAAAAGTCAACTATATTTACATGTATGCACTGTAATTCACGATTAACCATTATTTATATATATATTGGCATTAATATGTACAATATTTTAATTAAATTTTACTTTCAGATTCTCCTAAAAAAATGTCTACATTAATAATGAATTTCAATATTTTACATTCCAAGATGAGAGTATTGAAAATAAAATTCAATAAAATAAGAGAGTGTAGCTATAGCGATGGTTTTGAAAACGGATGGAATCAGCTGGTCAGACCGGATCAATTCAGAACCAATTCTTAACTGCTTTGATTTGTTCAGAAAACTATTTTACATCAAATCAGTGGAAAGCAGGTAGAATCGAGAAAATCAATAAAAAAATGTCAAATCAGTTTGAATCAGTCTAATTAGTTTTTAAAATTTATTTAATTTAATTTAATATATTTTTAATAAAATAATATTTAATTAAAAAAATTATAAAATTAGAATAACTTACTTTAAATACTTGTCTTATAAATACAATTTAATCATTTATATTAATTTTTAATATATTAATTTTTTTATAATTTATATCATATTAATTTGATTTTTTTAATTCTAAATATCAAACTTATTATTACTAATGGACATTGTTATATTTTATTAAAACTTAAACTTAAATATTATATATATATAGTTTAGAATTTTATTATACATTAATTAAATGTAAAGAATTTAAAAATAACATTTTATTTTAATTTTTAGTATTATAAATTATAATAATATTATTTTTGTATTGATAATAATAATAATCATCATTATTTTTATTAATACATGTTTGTTCAAGGTTAAACCATGATTGAATCATTGAACCTTAAACTAGTGTCTTAACCGATTTAATAACCAATTCAATTTAGAAAACATTGGTTGTAACCTATAATTGAATCATTTTTTTAAAAAGGTTGTGGTTGTGAGCTACAATGACACTATTATAAAATAAATAAATAAATAAGTATAGTTATAACTCATAGTTACATCAAAATGTGGGTTATAGCAACATCATTAAAAAAAGAGTGTAGCTATAGCTCACAGCTATACCATTAAATAAATTAATTAAAGAAATGTCTCTATGAACTATAACAACACTTTTTAAAAATATATTTTAATAGGTTATAGTGTGTCATATGATGTCAATGTGAAAATTGTAATATCCCATGGAGACACACTCCTTAATTTTTTTTAATGTTTTTTTAAAAGGTATAGTTGTTGGCTATAGTTATATCTTATATACCTTATATAAAATGCAAATTTTATGGACCGACTTTAAACAGGATGGACCGATTAGTGTACCCATCTCTTGCAACTAATTTGTGGACAAAAGAAATAAATATAAAATAAATACATACGTGGTAGGAATGTGGTTCGATTAAGTAGTGACACTCCTGTTAATCACCCCAAAGTGAAAAATTGTTTCAAAATAGCTCACTTTGATAATTAGTTTTAAAAACTTCTTTACAATGGTAAAAAAGCCAAAAAAAAAAATCACATGGATTTATAAAGAACAAGCACTCTATTATTATGAAACCTTTTGAAAAATGATTATAAGAAAATCCATTAAGATTTAAATTTAAAGCAAACAATATCATATCAATGTGAAAGATCGATGTACTATATTATAAGTACAATTAATTTTATTTTCATTTATTCCTATTAATTCTTTCACCAATCATTTGTACAATAATAATGGCTCCTAAATGAATTTGGATCCTCTCCTGAAAAATTTGGGATTTAGATCCTTTCTTACATACGCTTTCTTTATTTATCCAAAAAAAATTTGGTGGGCCAAATACGAAATTGAAAAATAAGTCCTTTTATTTTGTAGACTGAACTTGTTTGATTCATATATAAAATGTATATTTTATGGGTCAGACCTTAAAACAGGTCAAACCATACCCATCTCTTACAATTAATTTGTTGACAAAATAAAATTAAAAATAAAATAAATAAATATATGATAAGAATGTTGTTGGATTGATTATGACACCCCCGTTAATCATCCTAAAGTAAAAAATTATTTCAAAATAACGCACTTTGATAATTAATTTTAAAAACTTTTCTACAATAGTCAAAAAGCCAAAAAATATGGATTTATAAAACGCAAATGCTCTATTGGATTTTGGTTGAATCTCATAACCAAGTGCTAAATTAACCGTTGGTTACCTTTCAATATTTGATTTGGTTCCTTCTTTTTTTCTTAAATAATTTCATGTTGGAAAAAAAATAAAAAAGCAAATGAAACATTTATGTTTTTTACCTTTCGGCATGTGAGAGAGTTTCGTATTTTATAATTGGTTTAGTTATGTTTTTAATCTTCTAAATTTAAATTAATTATATTTTTATTTCTTAAATTTAAAAATTTATGTTTTTAATATTTATGATTTATATATATA